AACATGTATAAAATTACGCCAAGTACAGGATTGCTGTGAATTCCTCTAACAAAAAGTATTGATATCATATTATTGAGGCCAAGTACATAAGTCACTACATGTTTTCCTATTATATGATCTAGCACTGGCCCATCATTTTAATTATATTTTCAATATTTCCTATAACGTTTTCGCTACTTTTTTATGTTACTACTGCTTCCCGTATTTAATTATGACTTAATGGTGATTTAATAATTAATAAAACTTTAGGTGATTCCTTATCGAGTACTACTTGGCGGGGCCGTGCATTTCTTGATATAAATTTGGTACAAAACCAGTACCAATTTTCTATAGAAAGCATACTAACAATAACTCGTTAAAAATAATCACGGTAAAAGCTTAATAACAAACATACAGCATTAGAATACTATGACCACGTGCAAAGTAAGTACTTTGTTGGTACTGGTTTTGTACCAAATTTATCCTATAACGTTTTCGCGTACTCTTTTATGTTACTACTGCTTCCCGTATTTAATTATGATTTAATGATGATTTAATAATTAATAAAACTAGGTGATTCCTTATCGAGTACTACTTGGCGGGTCCGTGCATTTCTTGATATAAATTTGGTACAAAACCAGTACCAATTTTCTATAGAAAGCATATTAACAATAACTCGTCAAAAATAATCACGGTAAAAGCTTAATAACAAACATACAGCATTAGAATACTATGAGCACGTGCAAAGTAAGTACTTTGGAATTCCTGGCACGGACCCGCCAAGTAGTACTCGATAAGGAATCACCTAAAGTTTTATTAATTATTAAATCACCATTAAATCATAATTAAATCCGGGAAGCAGTAGTAACATAAAAGAGTAGCGAGAACGTTATAGGAAATATTGAAAATATAATTAAAATGATGGGCCAGTGCTACATCATATACTAGGAAAACATGTAGTGACTTATGTACTTGGCCTCAATAATATGATATCAATACTTTTTGTTAGAGGAATTCACAGCAATCCTGTACTTAGCGTAGTTTTATACACGTAAGTGTTTTTTGGGGGATTCAAAGTTTTCATTTCTACATCGCAAATTTTTTACAGGATATTCACAAATCACGGGCAATCGTATTAGAATCAGAAGTGAAAGAAATTAGTTCCAAATTTGGAAAAATGTAGATTGTTTATAAAAAATCACTAATTTGTTATAAAAATAATACCAACAGAACGTCTACTTAGCTATATTGCAAAGCTAGGGGGGAGGGGAACGCACATTTTCAGTATAGCAACAGTTTTTAATGATTGTTTATACTTTTTTTTACTGTGCTATTAAAAAATTGTCTTCTTTCCAGATTTAAAAAATTCAAAAATTAATTTCTCAAAAATTTGAAGTATCATATCAAAATAAAGAAATACGTGTCGATTATTTTCAAACATAGAACGCGAAAAAAAAATATGTTTCCCCAAACAAATTTTTCAGTGTAAATTTCATATGGAATGACCCATATACATCTTACATTTTATAACCCCACAGAAGGGTGTCGGTCCTACCAGGTAGAATGACCCTTTCGTCGTCATTCCAGCTCAGTGTTATTTTTTTTTCTGTTGTATGGTATGAACATCATGTTGTTTACTCTGAATTAAATTTTGAGTTTTAACTAAATTTGTATGGTATAAAAGACATTACCTATAATTATCGTTAAACGTGATTGTCTTTAGTGTGGATCCTTTTACCCCCTTAGCTCGCTTTTTAGCTTTGCTTTCTCTTAACATTCTGAAAGAATATAATTTTGCTCGTAATCCTATAAATTCAACAATAATTTTTCCATTGTTTTCATCCTTCATCAAACCCAATATTTTTTTATTTACTAATGGTATATCGTAAACATTATGTGGGGGATATTCTGAGGTATCCAATTTATCTAGATCACATTTCATATAATCATATATGTTAGGAACGGTATAATGATAAAGAAGACTGTCAGTGTTAGTATACATTAATTTAGCTTGGTTACCAAACGTATTCTTTATGTAATTATAATGGAAGTCATAAATATATAT